AGTCCCATGAGTAGAAGATGATCTAAGTCCATTCCCATCATGTTACCTATCCTTTGGAAAGCAGATGCAGGCAAGACTAGATCTCACACCTTCTCAACGGCGAGGGGGGCGAAGACTTCTGTTGTGATGAGACTGAGGGGATCAATACCTCGCTAGCTAGAGCAGGGAGATCGGGCCAAAGCTGATAGCGACCTGCTTCTGTTTAATTTTCCGGGTCACGTCTTCGGTCTTTCTTATGCGCCCTCACAAAGATTTTTAATTTTTGCTACAGTATACCCCTAAACGACATTTTCTACGGCCGAGCAGTTAGCCACAGACGACATAACACCCGTGGGAATCCACAAAATTACTTTTGGAGGTTGTTGTCAGAAGATTCCTCTTGGTATATTTGCGCAGTTTGCACTTGGGAGTTGGGATCAATGACGATAAAACTATTGTAATGCTAAAGAACCAATGACAAGTAGGATGTGTGTCTGTAATTTGGAGCCGGCACCATGCTGCCACCGTTTAGGGCCCTCTCCTTCCTCTCCGGTGAGTCCACCAACGACAAGAAGGAGAGGGACACATCTCTTGTTTATCGTAGTTCTTTAGATCTAGTTTGCTCAAGTTTAATCCAAATAAATCTAGTGAAAAAGTCAGAAAAATTTTAGTCGGGATCTTGTTACCCACAATAACTTCAGTGATTACTATTTTTAGAATGTAAACAAAAGTCTCGGCTTCATCGTTCCTATAGGAGAAAGAATCAAACCAAATATTACAAATTCACACCAAAAATAAAAACCAGAGAACCACTCCTAATGTCCGTGACGATAAATGAAACTCCACCTATGAGAAGCAAACAAAAACATGGCACTAGACTCTCCTCCACAATGGAAATCTTATACTCATCCGAGCGTTGTAATTGAGTCCAAAATTGAAGCCAATATGTCCCCCAGAAAAGTACCTGCAAAAAAGTTTGTTTGGCTTTTTGTTAAAAATGAAATCATTTCTTGTGAGCCAGATTGCCCAATATAGGGCCGATGCTCCTGTCAAAACAAGCAAATTGTGTTTGCGGTGTCCCAATTTTGACGATCCCCCAAACAAGTGAGACACACTTGTTGGAGGGGCAATTTCAAACACCCAATGAATCACACGCCAGAGAAAACAAGCATAATAACAATCAAAGAAAAGATGTTGGATGGCTTCAAGCTTATTACAAAAATAACAAACTTTACTACCATTCCAATTCCTTCTTGCTAGATTATCTTTTGTTAAAATAACCCCTTTTTCATGAACCACATGAATATTTTGTTTTTTAAGGGTATTTTCATTTTCCATATCTCCTAAGTGACCTTCATATCAATGCTGGCAAGGAACTTATACATAAAATTCACAGAAAAGACCCATTTTTATGTAAACCCTCAACAAACATATCTAGCATATTGTTCAACGCGACATGCATCATACGAGCAACTAAGCTATGCCATTCGGTTAGTTTTGTCCCCAACAAAGCCCTTTAGAAGGACACATTTAGAGGAGTAGATTGCAGAACCTCAGCTACCGTTGCCTGTTTTTTGTGCACCACATTGTATAGGTTTGGATAACGGGTTTTGTGATGTAGACACGGCCCGATCTTCCGAAAGGTATGATAGCGTCGATTGGTGGAGACTCGACGTTCACGATCTAAGCTTCGAACCAAGACTAATTCGGACCCCCGCAACCGTTACACCACTGCTCCATTGGTTATCAACCACGCGAACGCGATTGACCTCGCCGAGAAGGCTTTCCTGCAAGCGAATCGAGAACACAAGCAAGAACGTGATGAACGCATTCTGAAATTGCAAATAAATATGAGGCTTATGATAACGAGAAGGAGTTCAAGTCTTTATTCGAAAGGACTAATCGCCACAGGCGAACAAGATCAAAAACTGGGGCCCTGGTTCACAGCAAGCAGCCTTGGTGGCACAGTTGCAGCAAAACGATGTCTGTTTCACGAGGAAATCAAGAACTAAACAAAACACAAACCCTAAGGAGAGCGACGGCTGTTATTTATAGAGTCTTGGGCGTCACTCCCTGGACGCGCCCTCTAATGGGCCCCAACACGATACACGATCCAACGGACCAAAAGACGGTGTCGTAGCACCCTGGCAGATTCTGGACACTGACTTGTTTCGATGATTCCCGTTGATTCCGAGGGCTTTTTACGTGAGACCACTTGCATTGGCTTCCTTATCAAATTAGCTTTCCAACCATATGTGGATCGTCGAAAACGGAGTCCGGATGCGTCCTGGGTGACTAGTTTAAGACAGACTGATCCTGGAACCCGAGATGGGCTCCAACTTTAGTTGGACTTGGCCTCCACCATGAAAAAGATGAATTGGATGCCCATGCTGGACCTCCTTCTCTCCTTGGCTTGTATGCGACAAAGTAGTGATGTCCTCATCATTTTGAAAGCCTCATTTCCCAACCATTTGTCTTCTCACAACCTGATTTGAGTTCAGTTTTTTAATCTAAACCAAACCGGGTCTATGAACTTATCTTTGACACCCATAAGGCTTCCAAAAATGGGAATCCCCTGCTTTCTTTTCAACTTGGCTCAAAGTTTTATGTTTAGGTATTTGTTTTTAATCAGATCCTGCCACATGCCTTCTTCATTACATAACTTAAACAACCATTTACTCGGTAGACATTTGTTTTGTAGCTCTAAATTCATAATTCCCATTCCACCTCAGTCTTTTACCTAGCAGAAAATAGGCTATTTGACTAACCTATACTTATTTTTTTCAACTCCACTAGGGATCTCAAAAAAGACATTATAAACATCGATAGACTAGATAAAACAGAATTTATTAGGACTAAACGACCACTAGCTGACAACAATTTACCCTTCCAATTACTTTTTTTCTCAAGTCCATCTTCTATCACTTTCTAGTCTTTATTTGATAGTCTTCTAACATGCATTGGGATGCCTATGTACTTAATGGGGACTTGTCCTAATTTTCATCCAAAGAGGTGTGAGTATTGTTCCTCACACTCTGGCCTGCCCAAAACAGAAGATGTTACTTTTGTGATGGTTAATTTTTGGACCAGACAATTGTTCAAAGACACAAAGTAACAATTTCATATTCTTTGCTAAGTCAATTTCATGGTCCAAAAAAATAATTGTATCATCAGCATACTGTAAAATTGACGGTCCATCATCTATTAACGTGGGATTATTCCCCTAATAAGGCCCTCCTATTTGTCCCAATTTAAAATAATTGCCAACATATATGCCACAATGTTGAACAAAATTGGAGATAAAGGGTCACCTTGACTAAGGCCTTTCTTGGTCTGCAAGTAAGGTCCCAAATAATAAGATCACCGTTGCATACGTTGATTTCATTGATAGGAGGCTAATTTATGGTCATTTATCTGTAAGGTGATGGGTGCTTGGCACTCCCCATGAGGACAATACTTCTGGATCATCGATCTCATCGTCGATGGTCGTGGAAAGGAAACCAGTCATCCAATGTGATTAATCAAGGATTAGAGGTAATGAATTTGTAGCCTATGTTGTACCCGATGATGCAATTGTCAATGTTCTTTCATTACTTCACATTTGTTTTGGACTTGCTCTGGAGCGTTTGATTTTTTTTGCCCACACGCTGCACTCCTTTTCGTGCTCCACGCGGGGCCCACGCTACTAGAGCGACAAGAGGGGAAGGGCGTGCAGCGACTCTGATTTGGAAGGCCCCGGCCGCAGCATCGTATGGATGCACTGCCGGCGCCGGGAGAACACACCGAGACGATGTAGCAGAAGGTGGCGAGGAGAGACGCAACATCCGATCTACTTTTTTATGTTTTTTTAACATCCGATCAAACGTCCAAATACAACAGTTGCAATGTATGTTTGAAGGCAGTTGAAACATTTGAAACATGCTTCTAAAACACTTGAAAAAAACACCTGAAAATACTTGAAAACCATTGTAACCATACGTAGCATCCAAATAAAACACATACAACGTACGTGTGAAACATATGCAACATCCAGATAAACACACTTGCAACATGTGTTCGGAAAGAAACATACCTCTGAAACACTCGAAACATACGCTTGCAACATGCCTCTGAAACAATTGCAATATATGCAACATGTGAACATCCCCAATCTACTTTTGTAACATCCATGTGAAACAAATGCAACATACATCTAAAACGTCTAAAACACTTGAAACATACATATGCAACATAGGGGAGGGGAAGGCTGGGTCGGTCGATTCCGGCCACTAGGGTGGGGGAGCTGAGCTCGGTCGCCAGGGTGAGAGAGGGCGCCGGGGGTGGGGAGGGCGCCGCGCCAGGGTGGGGGAGAGCTGCCACTCCTCTACAACACCACCGCACCACCTCCATGGATCTCACCGGGGGGCGGGGGGAGAGGGCCACCGGATCCGTGGGCGTTGGGCGCTCCCGATGGGTGAGGGCGCGGCCACCGCCCAAGGAAGCAGCCATGGCCGAACGTTGGGGTGGGGCAGGGCTCGAGCGTGGAAGGAATAAGTATGGGGAGGAGGAAGCGAGGGCGAGCGACGCATGAGGGAGTGAGCGGTGGGAGGCATCCGTCCGAATGGGGATTTGTTTTTTGTTTGGGACCCGCTCCTGGGAGCTGCGTCCGGACGCAGAGTCATGGACGAGCGTCATGATAGGAGCATTATCGTTATGGAAACGAACCACGTTGGTTGATAAGCAAGTTTGAGACCAATTCGGATTCCATCTCAACCACGTGCATTACATTTCTATGTTTGATTGACTTGCTAGCGTCTATCCTCATCAGCACGTGTACATGTAAATTAGTTTGGACTCTACTTTATTGCCCCTCAATCCCCTCTGATCACTAATCCCATGGGGAATGGGTGTATCCAAAGAAGCCCTTAGTTAATAGCTATCCAGCTAATATTAAGATGTTACACTCTAAATACTTGTTCCGAATTAAGCAAGGATTAAGATTTCTACAGTCCTGTACACTTTTGTGTAACGTGTGTAGTCCATCAGTCCGTCGACTGCGGGGAAAACATGTCCTCTCTGGGCTCCTCCTCCTTAGCCCTCGACGCGTGCATCGCGGCGTGCTGCCTCTCCTGCTGCTGGCTCATGTACGAACCCATAGTGTTGTCCAAGGCCGAAGAGACGACGAAGCTGCCGCCGCTCGTGGTTCTGCTCCGCGCCGGCGCGGTGCTGAAGCCGATCGTGCGCTGGCCGCTGAACATCTGCTGTTGCGCCGTTTGGTCGACCATGGTCTGCTGCGTGGCGCTGGCCACGGCAAGGTTCTGACCGGCGCTGTCCGCAGGTGGTGCTGCAGGATGGTGGAGTGCGGCGCTGCCGCGCACGGCGGGCACGTCGTGGTTGTGGCCGTCGTAGGTGGTGATCACGGTGCGCGGGTCGTCGGACGCGTGCTGCACATGCTTGTGGACCGGGCACCCTGCCGTCGTACACTTGTAGTAGCTCCTGTAGTCACAAGACAACATTCACGATGAGTACAAAGTTCACACTTTCAATGGGCGTTCCCTACATGCTAGAACGGGCCTTGCCTTCGCTGAAGTTGGGCCCGCAAGCCCGAAAGGCCAAAAAAGCACCTAGCTGGCCAGCCCATGCTGTACTTACTTGCGCCGCTGGTCCGATAGCGGCTGCTGCTTCCGCAGTGCACGTGAGGGACTGATTCGTTTGCTGAGTATCCAAATCGCGGAGCAGATTTGTTCCACCCCAGGAATAGGAATGAGTGGATCCGTGCCTGTCACTCCTTTCCTGCCTGTCACTAATCCCTGCTTGCTGTTCGGTTAGCCAGGGTCTGAAACAGGTTTTGCTTAGGGTACTGAACCAGTTAGGACAAGTGTTGGAGTACTGCAAATACATCTCATAAAATACATTGCAAATACATTGCAACATAAATATGCTCTCATACATTGCAGCAAAATAAAATAAATAAAATCTCCCATGTTTTAAAGTTCTTTATCTGCAAGTCTGTCATCATGCTCTCATACATATAGAGATAATGGACAGCAACAATAGCAGAGTACCACAGATAATGTCCAGCCACAGATAAAAGGACATGCTAGCTACTGCCAAAAGTTACAAAAGGTGCACAAAAAGCCTGTCATGATCTACTCATGAAATTATAATCTTTTCTCACATAAACCATCACAAAGTGCACAAATCCAAAGCATAATTTAAACCAGTAGATAACTCGTCTAAGCCTACTCAAGTGTCCAGGCACTTTGTCCAATCCAATGTTTCTTGATCATTGCCTCCTCCCTGAAAATGATAGTAAACTTTTTTTATATAAATTACTGAATAATTGAACGAAAATGGCTTACAATATAATCAACCAAAGCATAATTAAATCAATATGTCAGTTTAAAAGCTTTGATTAGTTATGAAACTAATCAGTGCCTTCACAAGCTCTATCCCTATCTCTTGCAGAAAACATGTTCAGTGGGCCTCTCCTAGTGCTGCTGCCATTACAGAAATATTAACAGAAGAAGAAAAGGCTACAAAGTAACTTGACGGAAACAACAGAATTGCACGGAAGGTATGAAATTCCAGAGTAAAGGAGTGCACACTGCCACTCTACACCTTTAAGTGAATGTCATGGACCAAGCATCGGCCAATAATTTAACTACTATAGCATAGTGGAATGAAAGTCCACTGCAGCAAATTGATGCTCTGTTCGGCAGTACTTATTTTGGCTCTGGCTGATTTGTTGTGAGAAAAAAACACTGTTTTCTGGCTGGCTGATAAGCTCAAGCGAACAGAGCCTAAATGGACACTGAAGCTAGGTTCAGGCATGAAATGTGAAAGTCAACCAATAGAAAAGTGATACCACACAGTTTTATCTGTCATAAAAAAAAGGTACAAATTCAACCATCAAACACGTAGGTCTGCCACAGCTTATATAGGATGAATTACATGCTACTGACTCAAACACCTGCCAAAAGGATATCTCAACAAACCAACTCGCATACGACGTCTATTATCCTAGAGAGCAAACTAAGATGATGAACTCCTGGCAACTCTCTCTCGACTCAGCCACACTGTTTCTCCTTGTGGGCCTTTTGTTTGTGCCAAGAATACTTCACTCCCAAATAAGATAAACTGATGGAACAAATTCCAACTTTCAATTAATACAGATGGTCTGAAAAGCCAAAACCAAGCATGTGTCCAGGATGGGGGCACAAGTTGTCTCAAAATAAAACTATGTTTCCGTGGGCTGCGGATGGGGTCAAGTAGTGCAAACAAGTATACTTTTCAGGATGTTTCTGAGGATGCATAATATTTCAGTAGAATTATATAAGAACAATAATTCTGTTATGCAAGAATAATGCAAGCAGTGACTTAAACCAAGTAAAACATATTATTTGGTTCCAAATGATTCAAACAAACTAGAAAACACATTCTTCATAATCACAAGGCATTGCTTTCCCCAAGGCCAATATTAGACAGCTAATGTAAGCATCAATTTGAGAAATAACAATAGCATTAAAACCTTCAGTGAAAAGATGACATTAGTTGGTCTACTTTGGAAATGAAGGGAAGCAGCAGCTACTACTTCATGTCAATATATTCTGAACTAAAAGTTACCGGACAAAATATACACGGTGCTAGACCAATAATTTAGTGCATTAGTAGAAAAGCATACACTAAGTATCTAAACTACATTGTTTGTCCAAGTTGCATTGTTCTAGCTGATGACTAAACTACACTACTGCTAAACTGAACTACTGACAAAGAAACTAACAGCCAATTGAAAGCATGTAAAGAAACAACTACTCTGCGGCTACTGAACTACTGCTACTATCGGCACACAAGTAAAAGCACTGACAACATCCACTGAACTCAGCAAGCAAACAACAGAGCAACAAATAATTTAGCAACGCACACTGCAGGTCAAACAAGAGATAAGATATTTAACTAAACCACTTTGCAAAGGCTAAACTATTGTCACTACCACCAGGTGTGCATACTATGGATGCTACTCGAATCACATAAATGACATAACTAAATTTTAATATTCACATCACAAACGAAAGCACTCTATCTGCAAGAAGCAATGGACAATGAAAACACAGAACTACGATGTTAATTCAGTATAATATCGCCAATCAAAACCAGCTAGTGGGAGATAATAAAGTGTATCCTGATGGCAGCATGTAATCATACGAGGAACCATCATAAGAATAAATAGTCATAAATAAGGACTTCGCTTGTGCTAAGTCCGACACTCAAATCTAAGTGGATAAGATCAATCAAGGGCTGTACAATATTCACACCTACATTTTTTTAGATAAAGTAAAATAATCCGGCTTTCTCATGCTTAGCAAAGATGTGGACTTCTATCATCTTCTACCTTCAGCATATAAACAACCTTCAAGAATATTTTCAGGCGAGCAGAAGAAAGCAGAGCCACATGCTTTGCATTGCACACATACAGACACACTAGTACTAGTACTAGGGGTAATTACAGAGGAGGATACGTACAAAACAAAGCAGACAGTCGTACGAGCATTCTCATGTCAAGCCTGTTCGGCTGGAGCTGCCGGTTCGTGGATTATTACTGCTGACTGATTTGGTATGAGAGAAAAATACTGTTCTGGATGGAAGACACTATTCATGTGAACAGTGTCCTCGTGAGTGGGCTGGCCAGCGCCAGTCAGCCAGCCCAGTCGAACAGGCTTAAAGTTCTTCTCCATATCAAAGAACTAAAGAACACGCCTCTGTCACCTAGGGCAAACTGGAGTAGGATAGATCGGCGCCCACTTCTAACCCCCACGAACTGATCATCATCATCATCACCATCCTACTACCAGGATTCTCAACTAGAACTAGAGACAAGATAAAAAACCCTAGAGAACCATAGAGGAGGGAGAGAGGACGAGGACGAGGACGAAGGGGATTGCGAGGGAATCACCGGCGAGAAGGATGAGGAAGGGGGAGGATGTATGGTCGCCGCTGCCTCGCACTGCCCCGCGGTCGCCTCGCGCCGCCCCGCCGTCGCCTCCGCTACTCGAGTTGTCGCATGCTTGCGTCGCTTTCAGGAGCCAGCACCGATCCGGAGGGTAGGAGGTCCAGTTCCGTTTCGAGCCGCGGAGACAGGGAAAAGCGAAGGCAGTTTTGGTTCCAGGCCGGGTGAAAGGTCCTAATGGCTAGAGGGGGGGTGAATAGCCTATTAAAAATTTCTACAACAACACTTAACAAATCGGTTAGACAATTATGAGGCGAAGCAAGTGTTGCGCTAGCCTACTAAAAAGCAAGCCACCTACCACAATTCTAGTTTCTATAGTCTATATCCACACAATGGTATATCACTACACTAAGTTAGTGTGCTCTCAAATGCTAGCTAAAGAGCCACACTAACCAAACTAATAAGCTCTCACAACTAGCTATACTAAAGAGCTTGATAACTAGTTTGTGGTATTGTAAAGAGGGAGAGCAAGATAGTTATACCGCTGTGTCGAGGAGTGAACCCATCAATCACAAGGATGAATACCAATGTAGACCAATCACCTCAGAATCAAATAATGACACAATGATTTTTACCGAGGTTCACTAGCTTGCCGGTGAAAGGATCAAGATGCCCAAGAGGAGGTGAATTGGGCTAATTCTAAATTTTCTTGCAATAATCAAATCCTACGGTTAGCCCAATTAACCCCTTGTGCCTAGAAAAGTGTTTCTATTAAACTAACGCACAACGGACATGCAACCTATGTTCCAAACTTAATTTAGCATGACAATTCTATGAATGTAAAAACAAGTATTGAATTGCTCAAAGTAAATAGAGAGAGAGGAACGCGGCGATATTTTGCCGAGGTATCGGATAGTCGCCACTCCCCACTAGTCCTCGTTGGAGCACCTGCGCAAGGGTGTAGCTCCCCCTTGATCCGCGCAAGGATCAAGTGCTCTCTACGGGTTGATTCTTCGACACTCCGTCGCGGCGAATCACCCAAAGCCGCTCACAACTTGAGTTGGGTCACCCACAAGCTCCGCCGGGTGATCACCAAGCTCCCAATCACCACCAAGCCATCTAGGTGATGGCGATCACCAAGAGTAACAAGCACGAACTCTCACTTGACCACGCAAAGCCTAATGAGAAGATGGATGCACACTTTGCTACTCTTGATTCACTAATGAGGCTACTCTCTTGGATTCTCAAATCTCAATCACCTCACTAGGACCTTGCTCTTCTTGGCACTCACAAACATGTTTCTCAGCTGTTGGAATGAGCAAAAGTGACTCCACACACGAGTGGAGCTTCTATTTATAAGGCAGCCTGAAAAATGAACCGTTATGAGCTTCTACGGGGTGACCGGACGCTCCGGTCATGTTGACCGGACGCTCCGGTCAGTTCAACCCGCATTCCAGTGTTTAAGTGTTGACCGGACGCTGGCAGGGTCCGGTCACCACTGACCGGACGCGTCCGGTCACATTAAAACCTCACTGGATGCTTACTATACTCGACCGAACGCTGAACCCCCAGGGTCCGGTCAGTACTGATCGGACGTGTCCGGTCGCAGAATTCCTTCTCTGGAACCTTACTGGAGTCGACCGGACGCTGCCTCTCAGCGTCCGGTCGCACCGAACACAATTTCTTGATCAAAT